TCTTTCTTGAATTAATATTACATGTACAAGTAAATTTGAAAATTGTACGTGACGATCTCTGTTGACGTTAAAAATTGTAAGGATAATCTTTGAGCCAACTTTGTAGTAGAAAAGGGTTTTGTTATTAACAATAACTTTTAAATGCAAGCATTTAATCGCTCTACCAAGAGAAGTGAGAATGACAGTGTTTGTATCGAAGTTAGTGGGGTTAGAAGCCTTTGGAGGGGACCCTTTTTTCTCTATTTATAGGGGAGGAAGGACTTCTTATTGTTAGACTCATGTGTTGTCAATCAAATCAGCTACAGTGCCGAGTTTGAAAGGTGTGTCAATGATCTTATCCTTGATTGGTTGATGAGGTCGGCTCTTATCAGATTATCATGATGTCGACCTTGTTGTGTTACCAGAGAGTGATGAGCTGATTATGGATAAGAAGTTATAGCAGATGATTGGTGGAATAGGAAGGTGCACGTGCAAAGACTAGAATACATAAAAGATTCTCTATTTCCATTTTAATGGAAAATCATACAAATTAAAAATGTAGAGATGCACAATCATGGAACAGAACTAGTTGAGTTAGGATCGTAAAAGGTTTAGAATGGGTCATCAGTTCAGCCCAAAACAAGATGGCCTATTTCAAAGGAGGCTTAACCCAGTCTAGCCCTAGAACCCAAATCTGAGGAGTTTGTTGTAGGTTCTGTTTGAGCTCCATTTTTTAGAATATATTTTGTAAAAAGTGATTATTTTAGAATATTAGTTAAAAAGGTAGGAAAAAAATTGAGTTTAGTTGTTAAATTATTTTATTCGAAGAATATGTGATTGAAAATGAGTTCGATGAAAAATGAATATACTGTTGTTTGATACACACGTCCAAATTGCTGAGGGAGGGAGGCTTGATATAACAGTGTGAAAGCAGATTTAACAATGTGCATGTGTCGTATTTCGGCCGAGCTATTATGTTGGGATGTGTGCGAGGTTGTGTTTCAAGATGGTGAATTGTATTTGGCAAAAAAATGTTTTAAGAACAGTGAACTCGCCCCAACGCTTGGAATAGTTTGTGGCGATTATTGTTTTTAATTAATTTTTCACAATAGTTTTAAATAGTTGAAAATGAAGTGTAAATGTGAGATTTTAGGCATAACGATAAAGACACAAATTCTGTGTAATGATCTATTGAAAATCGTCCAGAGGTGCAAGAGGACTAGGAAACACGAATCTGCATAAACTAGATCAAGGGTCCACGATCTTGAAGATTCAACGTGCCAAACGGTGAATGATGACTCTTATTACATTACCAATTCTGAAGACTCAAACCATTGCTGGGCCATCATTCCTGCTCTCACTACAACAAAGTTTACTTTTTAAAGCATGCATTGTATGCTGTAAAAAGTTATTTACAGCAGCTGAACGCTGTATAAAGTAATGTCGTAAAAAGTGACTTACTTTTTACGATTTACGACGTACAAAGCAAGCCGTAAAAGAATGCCGTAATTACTTTTTACGGTGTTCTTGTGCACGCCATATAAAGAACACCTTTTACGAATTGCAAAGCATGTCCTAAGAAAGGCCGTTATTACTTTTTACGACGTTCATGTGCGGTCCATCTGGAGGAAGTGATATGATGAGAAACTTCTGAGTAGACTATCAAGTTCCCATTGGAGGGAGTATACTATGGGGCGTGGTTGACACTAGACTTGGATTGATGAAGGGTGAGGAAAATATCTGTTGCCGCATTGGTCGCTAGATCTTTTCCATGTGGGCTTCTCGAATTGCCATATTGGAGGTTGGATTTAAGAGCATTAGACAAAATTTTCATATAAAAGTGTGAAAACAATGACAAACACACCAATCGAAGCCTTGTTAATTCCGATGAAATAACAAGAATCCACTAACTAAAACTCATCGATTCAATAATTGATTGAAAATCGAGGTCTCGTTGATTCTACAAGGATGTCGAGAAAAAAAGAAACAAAATTCAGTTATTTGCATGTCGATCTATTTGTTTGTTTCAAGAAATCTATCGTGATTCTTTCTTTTACGATTAAAATGTATACATCATATTCACGGATTAACAAAAATGTCGTAAAACCATATTTGCCTACGCTATTTTAGGAGTCTCTTTCTCTTTTGATTTTGGGAATATGCTAATGAGTTGTTAGCTAATTAGCAACAACAAAGTAACAAAAAAGGATGCCTTTGGACAACGAAAGGAATCAATTTTTTGTCTTCATAATGATATAATTAAATACTTATAATGTCTATATTGAAATTGTGGTATTTCAGTATTATAAAATCTTAATGAATGTGCATATAATTTCGTCAATTTATTAGTCTTTCACAATATCAGCCATGGAAATCATCATATTCTTGTGTATCTGCATAATAGTTGCAGTTTCACTCCATTTCATAAAGAAGCTTGGAAATTCCAAGCAAAATATTCAATCTCCGCCAGGCCCGGCAGCGCTGCCAGTGATTGGCCACATGCATTTGCTAAGCTCCACCATGCACATTTCCTTCAAGGACTTAGCTTCTAAATATGGGCCAATTATGCTAATTCGCACCGGTGCAACAACTTCATATGTAGTCTCTAACGGAGCCATAGCCCAGGAAATATTCAAAACTCAGGATATTAAATTTGCAGCAAGACCAGAATTTGGTGGATCGGATTATCAAATTTACAAAGACAACTTATTTTCGACTTTGGATTATGGTAAACAATGGAGTTTCTTGAAGAAAATATGCATGATGGAAATTCTTTCGAATCAACAGATCAATCAATTTGCTGATATTAGAAAGGCAGAGATGATGAATTTGTTGAAGGTTATTGCACAGCATTCAGAAACTGGTTGTGATGTTGGACTGGAGTTTACGGCATTGGCAAACAATGTGATTAGCATGATGGTAATGAGCACCAGGTGTGCGACAAATGTCGACGAGACTGCACAGATTAAGGAAATAGCAAGAGGAATAACTCAACTTTCGGGCGTGCTGAGTCTGGGAGAAGCATTTCCTTTGTTGAAATGGTATGATATTTTTGGGGCTGGAAGAAAGGTGAAAGTCCTTTTGCTGCGATTTGATGCTCTAATGGATGGAATCATATCGAAACATGAGATGGATATTCGTGATGGAAAACGAGAGAGGACGGATATGATAGATATTCTCTTGCGTATTTCTGAAGATAAAACTTCAGAACTGAAGCTTACAAAAGCTGATATCAAGGGCCTTTTTCTGGTTAGTTGATTATCTTCCTTTGTAATTACATTGAATTTTGTTGTCGTACTTTTTCATCTTAAGTAATTACAAACAATAGGAGAGCACCCCTTGTCCCGTAAATTAGGGTCATTTTACTGAGTTCCATCGACCTGTTTCTCCCAAGTGCCTTTTTAGTATAGTACAACATTTGGAATCCTAGGTCGCTTAAAGGAAATCTAAAACTAGTTGTTTATCGAAAGATAGGAGAGCACCCCTTCTCCCAAAGTTAGGGGTCATTTTTGCTGAGTTCTCTTTCACATTTCTCTCAAACACCCTTTTACTACACAATATTTGGAATTTTCGTCGCTTACGTGATATTCAAAACTAGTAGCTTATCAAAATATATTAGAGTACACTTATCCTGAAGTTAAAAAAAGTGTCATTTTTCTAAGTTCCTTGACATGATTCTCTCAAGTCCCTGTTAGCGCATAAATACTAGGTCGCTTGAGGGAAATCCAAAACTAGTAGCTTATAAAATCAAAGATGGATTCGACAAGTAAATACACTTTATGAGGAAACTGATTCTCATTAAAAATGTGCATTTGACAGGATCTTTTCTTGGGAAGTACTGAGGAAACAAGTGCAGCCTTACAATGGGCACTTGCAGAACTCCTCAACCATCCAAAGGCCTTTAAGAAACTTCAAGATGAGATCGATATGACTGTGGGGTTAAACAGGCTAGTCGAAGAATCAGACATCCCAAATCTTCCATACTTGCATGCTGTCGTCAAAGAAACTCTACGGCTACACCCTTCATTGCCCTTGGTGTTCAGAAAATGCCGGGAGGACAGCAAGATCAATGGTTTCCCCATAGCTAAAAATTCGAGGATTGTAGTAAATCTGTATGCAATCAATCGTGATCCAAATGTTTGGGAAGATGCTGCAGAGTTTGAGCCAGAGAGGTTCTTGATCAATGCTATAAACGTGATTGGACATGCTGATCAAGAGGATATGAAAGGGCAAAACTTCAGTTATGTGTCGTTTGGAGGTGGAAGGAGAGGTTGCCCCGGAGCTAACCTAGCTACTTCAGTGTTGCATATAACACTTGCAGCTTTAATCCAATGCTTCTACTGGAAAATAAAAGGAGCCGAAAAGGTCAATATGGAAGAGGGAGCAGGATTTTCTGTACCAATGGCTCACCCTTTGGTTTGTTATCCTATTTTACGTGTTAATCTTTCAGATCTCCTTCAGATTAACTAGTTGACATGGTTATCAAACCATGGTATTGCAATTTTAGTACTTTATGCCAAGAATTTCCACTTGTAATAGAAGATGAGGAATGTTTCTTTTCAAGATAGAAAAGAATGCATGTAAACATACTTGTATTTTCTATGCTACACAAATAAGATCAAGAAAAGTCGTCCAGATGGAGTAAAGTCGGTGACCAAACATATGTACTGGAACTTAAATAAAATCAAGATTTGTCATTACAAAGACAAACATGACCCTGTAACTTACAGAATAAAGAGGTAAATGGTAATTGTAGTGTGTTAACAAAATGGTTTAAAACTTTGTCTCGTCTCCTTGTACAGGTTTATTGGAGTGAAATTTCCTTCAAATAAAAAAAAATCTCAAACTCTTGTTCACGAGTTTGATTTCTTTTGCCAATTTAGTTGTGTTCGAATGATTTGTTTCGTTTGTTCAACATTTATTTGTTACAATCAATGGCAAATAATTGTAATTATTTGATCAATCTATGCCTACATAGCATTTTTATGCTACATATTTGCAACAAAATTGTAGTCTTAACTTCACATGGTCAACAAGTACTGGAACTCATATTCATAAGGTATCTTCTCAACAATGCCAGATGCTTTGCCACCATGAAGTCCCCGAAAACAATCCACGATCGATTTCCTCAAAGATCCCGATGTAGGTAGCTGCTCGCACACCCATTCCATCAATGAGTCCACGTCTCTGGCGAAATCCTGCATGTTCCCAAGCAGCAGTTCAGGGAGTGCTATTCTTTTTGTGCTTGTCACCACTATTGAAGCTTGCAGGTACTCCAGCTTTGATCTTTCTAATTCACCTATGACACCTTCTGCTGTATATATTTTTACCTGCCCATGAAACATATACATACAATCAGCAAGCTCTGAAGATCTCAGTTCATAGAAGAAGAAAAATTAAAATTGAAGTATTTTTATGTATATTACACCTAGGAAATGTTTGGTACCAAGTGATAGACATACTATATATAATTGTCAAAACTTCAACTTTTTTTCTTCATTAATACTCCCACTACTGTATAGCGAGTCTTACCATGAGTACCACTATTATATTGCATTCAACAATACAATGTTAACCAATATATTTGACATATACATAAGACATAAATTTTTAAGTCCAAATAGGATCGTACAGACTAGATTGTGCGGCATGTTTGGTAAGGATAGTGGACGGTACGAGATAGTATTAAAGAAAAAATATTCAGAATTATACTATTAAATCATGTTCAATATTTCGTATTAAACCTGCAGTGTTTGTAGGTACAATATTGTGTAATTTTCTTGTCGAAATGGTTGAAACTCACTGCTGGTGAAGAACGTGTTCCACAGCACAAGGCAAAGACGATATTTGGATCTGGTGAGTGAAGTCCATAAAGTTCACCAACTATAGCCTCTTTGTTATCCTTTTCTCCCTTCCCAGTAATCTAAGAAATGCATAAAATCCAACATATAATTCAAAGTGTGCTATTAGACTTCATTTCGGCTCAGGATTTTATGAAAACGAAAAATAAATACAGTAAGTATAAACTTCGGCCGCTTTTTTCTTTATAACAAAATAATTCACTATTAATCAAAATAAATGGCTTTCTATAAATATTTTGTACACTGAAATTCAGGATATAAGAGCCTTAATATAAACAATTAAAATGTGACATACCTGTTTAAGCAGTGAAGGCTCAAGTTTTCTCAGGATAATTTGTTCAATTGCCTGAGCATTTATTATATTACCAGCAATATTCAGAGTTGCCTGAAATGAAACACAAGTTATATACAAGGCTATATGAACATCAAAAACCTTACTCTATCACATCTTTTTTAACTTCTTAATTAAGTGAAAAATGCATGATTTAATTATATAACTCGTAAGAATGGGACACAAAAAGAAGTGACCCCTTATGTATTCATTTAAAGTTTTTTTCAACATCTATGAGTTGGGAAAGTTCCAAGTTCTCAATTAAATTAAAGAACTAGAAATCATTGTCTTCAGATATGCTCATATGCTTATTAAGTTCCATTTTACCTTGTGGATAAGTTTAAACAAGTTCTCAGGTGTAGAACTATTAGGAATCCCATACTGAAGGAACCCCTGGAAACAAAAAATTACATTCACACATTTAAGTATATCAATAATCCAGAAGTGTAAAATTTGTAGATAACAGAAAAGTATCAAGAACAGTGTTGTTAAAGTCCATGTACATGCATGATAGAAGCATTGTACATGTTGATCCAGAAAGCCAGCTTCTGCTGATGACTCAAGAATCTCAAGTCCACCTTCTGAAGACCATTCATTAAGCCCCTGAATTTTCCAAAAAAGACATAGAAAATCATAAATAAGCAAATATATATATACAAGCCCAGTGGAATGAAAATGTTTCAAAAGTGAAAGTAAACTCATTGATATTGAGCTTGATTCTTACTTTAATTTCTGAAATAAAGCAATCGAGTTCGAGTTTTGGATGCATTTTGGATCCATAGAACTCGATGTGAATCTAACCAAGTTTTTATAGGGGCCAATATCCCTTGTTATAGACTCTTCAGAATCAAAAATTCCGTAGGGATCTTGTTGTCTAGAGTCTTTCTGAAACGTGAGGCTTGTTTTAGAATTTAAGCTTGTCTCAGCACGAAAACTTAGAGAAAAGTTTGTGGACCGGGATATTTGGCCAGATTTCTCTAATTCCATTGCTCTTGATGTTCGAAGTAACCTTACAAAAATGAAGATCAAACACTTCATGATGTTCTCAGATAACTTGTTTGGTGGCCACTTGTGAATGCTTTGTTCTTCTGAATGAATTGGTGTATACGTAACTTTTTGTAGGACATCCGCAGGGATGTCAAGGTTGCGGTCTCTCTGAAATGGCATGAACAGTCATAATCTTTGAATCAAATAGTAGAAAAGCGAAAAACATGTAGTCTTCTAATGTGCAAGTGGGATATAATTTTCAGTTAAATAGGTGACATAGAATGAACAGAATTATGTGGTCGTACTCTGGGGGTTGGATTCCTCGTGTCTCGAAATGGAGAGGCAGGTTTAAGCATCCCACTTCTCTTCGAAACCTTTTCACGAAATATTCCAATTTCATCCTGAAAATTATTTTCCTTATGATCAGGCAAACCTTTTGGATTCGTCCCTTTCTCATTTAATCTGAAGTCACTGAGATTATAATCTCCTTTTATAGCCTTGCTAATAAAATGTAGCCCCTTAGCCTCAAACATGGTTTTCTCATTGGAACGACGCCTGCTTGTATTTTCATTGTTGTTTTTTGGAGTTCCATGCTGCTGCCATTGCTTGGAATTCGATTCCTTTTCATTTTTTACCTCAGATTGAAGCTGGCTGATTTGGCTTTCCAAACGCGCAATCTCATTTTCAACCATAGCTAGCTCGGCCAGTAGCTCTTTCATCTGCAAATGAAATTTAACAAAAATAAAAATAAAAATTAAGTAGCATATTCCACGTTAATTTCTTCAAGAAATGAATTTAAATTGAATAAGTTCCACCTTATTTTCATTACAATAATTAACAAATATCTGACAGATGGGAATTACACTGCTGAGATTTCATATAATATGGTATTGTATAGATATAAAAATAAAAGTAAATCATGAATATGAAATATAGATTTCTTATTTTTGTACATGTAAAGATTATGCCGGGCTGCGAGATGACTATGATTATGAGTATCCGTTATCGTGGTTTCTAACTAATTATCTACTCACTTTCAATCTTTCAGTAAATTTAGCAATGATACTAGAATCAAAATAAAGCGTAGAAATAAGTCTACATAGGAAATGTGAAACTTACTTTTGGTGGTAGGTAGTTTGGGATGCTGAGAGAAGAACCACCCTGTCGATTTTGAAGTTGCTGGAGAAATTCGTGCACCTTTTGTTCATGAGCCAGCATTTTATGAAGCACAGAAACCTTGATTGAGTGAAAAATTTACCTTTCAAATTAGTATCACTTTTTGTCAAAAGAAAATATTGAACCCATCACCTATTCTTGTACTATAATGTACAAGTGAATCAAAGAAACTATGCAAAGAACTTAATCAGAAAGGTGCATAAAATCATGTCCATACCTCTCTTTCAAGCTCCTCTTTCTTTTGTTGTCCGCTAAGCTTCTTTTTCTGAAAACCAAAGGTAGTGTTAATGTTTTGAAACAAATAAGATACCAAAATCTCTTTGATATTACTTGTTGAGAACCGAATCAAATAATGAAGACGAGAAAATAAGTAATATGAAAAATATTGAATCACATAAGAACACAAGATTTATGTGGAAGAAGAAGTGAATTTCATATACCGAAAAACTAAAATTGTTTTACAAAATTTGATACTAAATCTAAAGCAAAACAATTCTTTCAAGTTTCTAATATATACAACAATGATCTAATTATTATATTAAGTCTATGAAGAGCCAACACCTCATGAACTATTTATAGGAGCCCAATCTTGAAGTTATAGATGAAGTAGAGCACAAAAAATGTGGTCAAAATCAACTGGAAACCTTTCCTTCTCGTTAGAGTGGCACTGGGATGCCACCCCGACGCCACTGTCGGCGCCTTAGAGCCCCAATGCCGACCATACTAGCCCCAAACAAGCTGCGGGTGTCGCAGCGCCCATGCCATGGCACCTCGACGCCCAGTAGCTTCTTCCTACTGCGGCTTTCGGTGCCACAGCACCCTGGCTCCATCTTTATGTTTTTAAAACACTTCTTCCTCAATCACAAAGTCTTTATCATTATCAAACTCTCAATTTATGATGAATTTTGATATCTTATTTATCCGAACTTCCAAATCATAATTATCTAGGCTTTCTTCATGAATCAAACTTCCAAATCACACGAAATTTAAGTCACAAACATAACAAACTTCACATTGACACAAATTTCATGGCAATGAATTAAGTCTCCCTCTTCAAGTTATTCTCCAGCTCTTTCACAATGCCCCTGCCGGGCATACTCAGCAATTATGAATTAAATCCAAACCCTACTTACCAGCAAAACTACTTTCAGCACCAACCTTGCTTGAATCATCCCGTTCATTAACAAATCCAATCAAATCACCAAATCGGCTCTAATCACAACGAGCAACATGATCGACAATCACAACTAACTTCACCTGAACTACTAAAAGATTTTCCAATATCATTGCTCGATCAACACGAGCAGCCCGATCACAACTAACTCTACTTGAGTTACCGCTTATCAAACCATAAACTGCAACTGCTTCCACAGTGATCGTCGAACCTTACAAAAATATAACTGAGACTTTCTCCGCCCCTTTAACACAACCCCTATACCCTTGCTAACTTTCAGAACTCCACCTTTACCGGTATACCTGTACTCTTTTGAATCAAAAGTACTCAGAGAGATAATACTTCTGTTTAAACCTATAACTAAACCAAGTGTTCTGATCGTCCTATCAAATATATTGATTCTAACCTTATCAATATCAGCTATTTTACAAGGCTCATTATTTTCCATCACTACAGAACCCCTTGTAACTGTTTCATACAAAGAAAACCAATCCTAGTTAGAACACATATAGAAAGTGCAAGTCATATCAAGAATCCAATTCTCGTCAGATTTGGAGTCACCGTCTGAAATCACCAAAAGATCTTCATCACTGCACTCTTCTTCTACAAGATTGGCATCACCAGAATTACCTGATTGTCCCTTCTGATCTGTAGTACAAACTTATTTCTGTTCTGCCATTCATAGCACTTTTTCATGTACCACTTGTTGTTGCAATACCAATAGACTTTATCATTGTTACCATCATTGACTATATCCCTTCCATGACCACATGTTTACCTTTCACGAATAACAAAACCCTCTACTTGGGTCTTAGATTCTACCAAATGCTTCATCTTCTTATTGAAATAAAGTGCATTATATACCTCGTCAATAGTGAGAGTATCCCGATTATAAAAAATAGTATCTCTAAAAGTCTCATATGAAGGCGACAATGAACATAACAATATCAACCTTAAATCCTCTTCATCATACGTCTCCAAATTAGCAACAATTTTCTTGAACGCCAATAGATGATCTTCTAAAGATCCACCTTCTATCAAGCGATGAGAATACAAGCGCTGCTTCAAGTGTAACTTACTGGTTAAGTTTTTTGTCATTCAAAACTGCTCCAATTTAAACCACAAACCAGTGGCACTTTTCTCCTTTGCCACGCCTTGAAAATTTTGATTAGAAAGATGAAGATGTATCTATGATAGGGATTTCCGATTCTTATGTTGATTTTCCTCGGCAGTCATTATTACGGGTATTCTATTCACCCCCAAACAAAGTATCATCCAAATCCAATTGAGCAAGCACTTTTCGTATCTTGATCTGCTACAAAGAAATTTTACTATTGCGATCCAAAAGCAAAATATCAAATTTCATACTTGTCATCCCTGAAACAATCAACCTTGTTCAAATCTCGCTTTAGTAACCAATTTAGCCCTCCAAGAACCATCAAAATCTTGGCTTTGATACTACTTGTTAAGAAACAAACAAGATACTTGAATCGCTCTGATACCACTTGTAAAGAATTGAACCAAATAATAAAAATGAGAAAATAAAAACAATGTAAAAAATATTGGATCACACAAGATTTATATGGAAGAAGAGAATTTCATATACGAAGAAACCAAAATTGTTTTACAAAATTTGTTACTCTTAATCTAAATCTAAATAATTTTTTCAAAATTTTAATGTATACAATAATGATTCAATTATTATGTTGGATCAATGAAGAGCTTACACCTCGTGGAGTATTTATAGGAGCCCAAATTTAAAGTTATGAATGAAGTAAAGCACAAAAGACGCTGCCAAAATCAACCGGGAAACATTTCCTTCCCGTGGTGCCACCCCATCGGCGCCGGCCTTACTGGCCCCAAACAGACTGTGGGCACCGCGGCGCCCATGCCATGGTGTCCCGGCTCCATCCTTGCGTTTCCAAAACACCTTTTCATCAATTTCAAAGTCTTTATCTCAATCAAACTCTCAATCCACGATAAAATTTGATCCCTTATCTATCCCGATTTATAAACCAAAATTATCTAAGCTTCCTATATGTACCAAACTTCCAAATCACATGGTATTTGGGTCGCAAACATAACAATTAAGGGTTAAAACCCATATCAGTTATAAGCATTTGTGCTAACTCTACTTAACGAGGTTGTCCTTTTAAAATACAATAAACCTTGAGACATTGTACATTTTACATATAAGAGAAGAAATTTTATGAGCCCCAGACCATACACCACAGAATAAAGGCTTTCTGTGATGGTTTTGCTATCAGGCTTGGAATTTTCTCGAGTTTAAAAAATGAAGGTATTAACAAAGTTGAGAAAACTTACAGTAATCTCTGTTGGAAGTAATGCTGAATCCGCCATGAAAGGAAATGATCCAAACCAAACCTTCAACCTGTGCCAGGGCCTTGGGAGGACATTAAAACAGAATGATTATCATATTTTGATCACACAAAAGCTTGTATTTGAAGCAAATTATGGCAGCAGATTTCTGGTAGAATAATAGTTTGATAAAGAAGATGAAAGGGAGCTTTCAGAAGCACAAGTAGTCTAGAATTGATACTGGCTAACCGCCACACTTCAGTTGTGACTTGTGAGTGGGGCATCATGGGAGAAGGAGAAGGAGTAGTGCCCAAAAATAATAGGTTTGGCGTAGCTTGCACTTGCAGTATTTTGTGAGGTGGGGTAGTATTAACTATTAAGTGTCGTTCCTTCTTTGAGAAGTGTAAAAAAGTTCTTTAATACTAATTATGCCAACAATTTAGCTACTGTTTACTAAAAATTAAATTTTCAGTAAATTTTGATAAAAATTGATAAAAAGTGCGCTTAAAAAGTTGTAGTCTCATGAAATATGTTGTTAAAATTAATTGTTGATTTTTACTTAGATTTTTATCAACTTTTTAACTAAACCAAACAAGGGCTTAATTTTATCTAACTTCAGTTTCGACTCAGTCTTCGAATTTATTTTAAAGTTACATATTAATATTGGGCTGCAAACAAGTATGTGCCCGTTTATAAAACTTAAATTTTAATTTAAGATAGTCAAACATACTTTTATTTACGAGTTTCGTCATATTCATAATTTACTATCAGCTTCTTATCTACAAATTTCGTATGATCTAAAACTCTAAAAACACTACCAAGCAGACTCTAAGTATGTAATTGATTTTATAATAAATATGAAATTGTAAATGAAATATAATCATTTTCTTTATCACCAAAGGCGTAAAGAAGTTATTATCATTTCGAAGTAGTTGTCCAATTCCATTAATAGCAATTTTTTTTGCAAAAAAAAAAGTATTTCAACCATCAATCTAACGTCTTTTTGCTTGGTAATTAATCTTTCTCTTCAACCAACAAAAAGGGTAAAAAAGAAAGAAGCAAGTTTTGAAGATTGAAAAACTAAAACAAACGAAAAGGACTTGGATTCAAGAAAGTCCATAAATGACAATTTATACGTAACGCATTCAACCATCAAATGCACGTAGCTCAATTTATACGTAACGCATTCAACCATCAAATGCACGTAGCTCATATAACTACACGCCAAATACATAGACTGTTGTACGTCAAAATTTCAGGTATCTTATAGATGTGTATAATTTTATAATGTTGTACTTAGAAGATGTGCATTTAATATTTGAGTATCTCATAGGCGTATGTCTATTATACATACACATACGTATATAAAATGCCAAAGATAAGTGTACAAAAAATTAGGGAGAATACTCGGTGAAAGGGTGCATGAGAAAGTTGTTAGTATGATTTTGACCGAAGAGTGACTAGGAAGCTCTGCAACAGCTACGTGTTACCACCTACGCAGACATATCATTTGTAAAAACAAAATTAGAGGTTACATGGATTTTATTTACAGTTGTTCATCTCATTTTAATGGTTAATCTAAAATATTTTGAAATTTAACCATTTAAAGAAACTTTTTTGGACCTTTTATGGTATCAAATCTCTCGTTTCTACGCCATGTACCCCAAGAAGAACAAATGCGGGAAAAAATCGAGTCCAGCCTCCGTGGTGGCAGTGGCGGGGGACAGGTGCTTTTGGTTGCGCTAGGGATAGGGCTTAGGGTGGAGTAGTAGTGGATGGGTGGAGAAGACGATTTTTTTTTTTTTTTTAAATGGTTTAATTAATTAATATGAAGAGACCATTTGATCCTTTTATTAATGATCAAAATAAAGGTCAATCCTTATTGCGGAAAAGGAGAAGATTGAGAGAGAAAATGTTATTCAATTCAATCAATAAATGGTGATACAATCAGTATAAATAGCAGCTGAAAATGGAAAAGGCGGGAAGGTAAGAAAAGGG